AATTACTTTATATTTTTGAAGTGATTGCTTCATTATTAAGAAAATAAACTTTTTTCTATTATTATGTGCGTCATTCCCATAATATTATAGGAACCATTCCTATAATATTGTAGGAACCATTCCTATAATATTATAGGAACCATTCCTATAATATTATAGGAACCATTCCTATAATATAATAGGAACCATTCCCATAATATTATAGGAACCATTCCCATAATATTATAGGAACCATTCCCATAATATATTGAAGCTATTCCATTATTGTATAGGAACGTTTCCAATAAATTATGGGTATGGTTCCCATAATGAGTATAGGATTAATGCCTATAATGATAATTTTATTATAGGATCCATTCCCATAATTGTTGGAAAGATTCCTATAAATTTCTCTCCGTGTATAATAATTTTAATCGTTTGTAAATAGATTTAATTTTAGCCCCAGGATTATTTCTTTTTAAATTATACAGTGCATTTTTTTTTTAGATTTAAAATTAAAAGAAAAAAAATTAATTTTTAATTAAAATTTAATTTTTATTTCCATTACAAACTATTTTCATTATTAAATCAAAACAGCAATAACACACGGCATTTATCATACATCATACATGAATTACAAACGTGTGTGTGTTCATAACTTGAAGATGGAAATGATTGAGGTGACGTTGAATTTGCAAGCTCCAGTCTATAACTCTCTGAAAGTCGTGTAGTTCGAAAGGGGACGAAAGCTCGACTTGCATTGTGACCTGTAACGAGGGGCAATTTTTACTGCCGCGAACAATATGTCGCATTAGCGCATTGTGCGATTTATGCCCGGAGGCTACTATCATATACGATATGCAAGCCCGTACAAGCCCGGTATCGTGTTCCCGTAATCGATGCTTGATTTCCATCTCGCTAAAGTACGGGAAATGCATCATGCTAGTTGCCTATCCAGTGAGCTACCCGCCAGCCTCCCTGCATACTGATTATTTACTTTTTTACCACCTATTTTCATTTTTTATTTATTACTACTAGCTTCCACCCTCGTCTGCTTCGTCGCTCCTCAATTTAGCTTTTTTCGAGACTCATAATAATTTTCGATGGACTGCAGATCCGCATTTTAAATTTAATCCATAAAAAACATCATTTTGATCAATCGATTACAACAAAAATAACTTCAATTTTTAAGTTGAATTTTTCGAGAGATATCCCGAGTCGAAATTTAAATCGTAGATTCAACGTATTGAACGTTCAAATCGTAGGTTGAGCGTATTAGACGTTGAAAACGTAGAATCAACGTATTGAACGTTAAAATCGTCATTTGAACGTTATAAACGTTTAAAACGTATGTTGAACGTATCGAACGTATTATAGATGTAAAGAGAACCAATAATGAATGATATAAGTAATATTAAAACTACTGAAATAACTGCACATGTTTGAAACGTAAATAGACAAAAAAAATTTTTTTTCAGTTCTGTTAGAGAGATTTTACATTTCTTTAGCTTAAATTTACCATTTTTTAGAGAGAAATGCTTTATCGAAATTTTTACCCTCGGAATGGTTTCCAAAATTATGTTTAACTTTATGAAATATCATTCATACGATTTTATACCAAAAATGGCCTCATAAATCTGTATATAACAGGATAACGTTTTAGATGATTTTATAAAATTTTATACCACTGAATTTTTACAAAAAAAAAATTACAATTTTTAACTTTCCGCTAAGAAAATTAAAAATCTGTAGTTATTTGAGTAGTTTTAATATTACTTTTTTCAGCCATTATTGGTTCTCTTCACATTTATAATACGTTAAATAATACGTTCAACATACGTCTTTAACATTCATTACGTTCAAATGACGATTTCAACGTTCAATACGTTGATCCTACGTTTTCAACGTCTAATACGCTCAACCTACGATTTGAACGTTCAATACGTTGAATCTACGATTTAAATTTTGACTCGGGATCCTTTAATTTTATTCAAAGTTAAAACAAACCCAACATTATGAATTTAATCACACGAAGGGTAATTTATACAAAAGATACTTCAAACATTTTTTTTGAAATCAAAATTTTCAATTTTGACACAATTCAATATTAATTAATCTTACATGCAAACAGTAAATTATTTACAACTTCTAACATTTTCTGTACATCTGAATTTTACCAAAATATTTTTAAATTCCACCCTACATTAAATAATTAACAAAACAGCATTGCTCTCGTGCTTTCAAAAGCGAAAAAGTTTCTAAAATTCTTCGTATGTGCAAAATTATTTTCTGACTGACTGGATCAAAGCAGATGTAAATTCGTACTGCGATATAAAGTTTTGTTATTAACATTATGCAGCGCCGTCGGTTACATAAAATTAATAGTAATGAATGGAAGTTCCTCTTTGATTTTGTGGCGCGGAAAAATTGCAAATGTAAAATGTAAAGGGGTTTTAGAGTTGTCGGACGAAAACAATTATTCGACTGCTAGATAAACACACTCTCACCTCATCAGTACAAAACTTATTTGTCTATGCAAATTGTCAATCAATGTGTGTTGCCCGGTTTGCGTTTGCGACCGCGGCGTGCGCGTGAATGCAATCGAATAATGTCTCTCCAGGGGCCATTTTCACCGCATTCTCTACTCGACGCAGCGACGTACTATTCTGGCACACTCTTGATGCAGCTTCAAACGACGACGCACATTCAAACAGCTACGCTGTCAGTTTATCTATTTTTATCATTTTTCTCTCCTCTCTTCTCTATTTTATTTTATTTTATTTTATTTATTTACTTTTTTAGTTTATTGGACGTTCTTTTTTTTAGCTCCTTTTGTGTGCCGAGTATTTTTTTCTTTGTGTTTTCAACGAGCAACACACAGGTCGTTCGATTGCACTTTTTTCCCTACTGTACGCCTGAAAATTGCCCGACCATTACTACTTCAGTGAAATGGGACCGAGAATCCTCGAATTCCCTATGTTGTCCTGTCCTATACTCGTCCGTTCATTCGTTGACTCGTTCTCGTTCAATCAGTATCAGGTTGAACGACAAAGCCAACCTTTTATTCTCTTCTGGTCAAATGGTCTAATAGTAGTAGATGATCGAGAAGAAAAGAATGAGGTATACTACGACTAAAAATATAAATTAACTTTAAATAAACCAAAAAAACACACTTCAACTAAACTAAAAATTAGGAAATATTTTTCAATAAGTCTTAAACTATAATTTTATATTTTTTTAACATAATTTAATTAAAAGCCAGGCAATATTTTATTTAATTAAATTAAAAGTACAATATTTACCGTCATTTTATTGATTGAAATTTTTAAATTGAGAAATTTTTCTTATTCCGTTAAAATGATAGATAGATACAGTAAGAGTAAATATAAAAACTCGTTTTTTCAATAAATAACAGTCCAATTAAACTCGATAAATATTTATAAATTTTTCTTAGTAATTTTTACACTAAAGTTGTACAAATTAAGCAAAAGCTTTTGTTTGAACAATCTGTTTGATTGGATCTTATTCAAACAGAGAAATGTCGAGATATTGCTGTTGCTAGAATAGTTGTTGCTGTTTTTCACTTTAAGCTACGCTCAGAGGAGTTGGAACAGAGACTAAACTTTATAATGCGATTGTAGTACGTGATTAACAGTTGGAGGGTTCATAAACTTTGGTTCAAGTTTGTAAAAGCGCTTCAAGATGTGAATTTCCGTTTTTAAGTTTACACATTTCCGTCAATGAAAATGTTTCTCTGAATAAAATTTATACAAATCTTGGTACAGTTCTCTGCTGTGCTTCATAAGCTTTACAATATAATATATACAGTGGGATGTTTGCTCGCTAAATAACAAACGATAAAAATGATAACTCTTCGCTAGAGCATGCTTTATTGTACATAATAACGTCAACAGATTAATTAAAGTAAAATAAATATCAACAGTTAACATCTTAAAAGAAAATAACAACTGCGGTGTCTAACACTAACAATGTACAAAGTACAGAGAGCAAATCGAAATCGGCAAGAGCATAAGGAAGGGGTTCAACAGATTTATGTTTGATTGATCAGTTTGATCAATTTCTTCCTCAAGAATCTCGTCGAGATCTTCGTCTTGATCTTCTTCTCGAGTAGGGAAAATGAGTTCCATGGGTGCCGATACATTACTCATGAGATTGCGCCAGAACTCCATTCTAATCGGCAGGAAGTCCTCCTCCATCGAAATAACCGGCGATCTTCCCATGCCGAGCTTCATGAATCGGAAATCCTCTTGATACGGTTCCCAATCTGGTGTTAGCCGCGCTTGAGGTATTCTGTGAATAAATGAAGGAGATCGGATATCGTTTGATCGATTTGCTGAGCGGCATCACGAGAATGTATGTCTGATAAATTAAGCACTCCCGTTTCACTCAAGTATATACTACTTAATTTACTTCTATCATCATAATCATCAGGATGATTGCCGTCAATCATTTTCGCCACTTCGTTAGCTAACTCGTCAATATTTAAATACCAAAACTGAGAGATTAATTTTACTTGCTCGAAATTTTTTTGTTCAGAACTTTATTAAAAAAAAAAAAAAAAAATTGAAACCAGTCTCAAATTTTTATATAATTTTCTTAAGTATATTTTTGAGCAATTATTTGAAGGATTAATTATTCCGATAAATACTTGAGATTCTTATAAAAAATTTATGGCTAAAATTTTACCCTTATAGTGTAGAAATTAAAAATTTTATTTAGTTTTAACAGAAATTCTTTTTTAAATAGAGTAAAATTACTTGCAAGTAAGACATGTCTCTCAGTGCAAAAAATTAGTACTCACCCGGTTCTCACAAAATTTGCCCACATTTCAGTCATTATATTGATCATTGTTTCATCACTAGCCGTGTTATGCAACTGCAGGTCTAGGTATTTAACATTACTTATTGGAAACAAATAATTCAAATCGTCAGCATGTCCAATTCCTGGAAATTATAATTTTATAAAAATAATAAAATACTAGTACGTGCACAAACAGAGGAAATAAATTTTTTAGGTAAAATAATTACCATATCGCTGGGGGTATTGGTATGAATAAGTTGAAGTAAAAGTTCCCTCGTATGCAAATTCATAGAAAAAAACACTCGAATTCATTTTCATAGCTTGAGCATTCAAAGCTTCATAAATCCAATAATTCATTAATCCATCACTTGTCATCTGTAAGAATAATGAAACAGGGTTTTATTGAATCAAATGAATCTATTATATTGATTGGATTATAATACTCCATTTAACCGTTTGAAGCATAATTTACCGCGGTTAAATTTATATTGGACGCTTCTTCAGAGATATTGCCATCAAACAGAGAATAAAAGTTCATCAGTTCTTCAGAGAATACCGTTTCGTTCATAACAATCTCCTCGGTTTCGAGGTACAGTGATACCACATCCTCAAACTTGCTTTCGAATTCATCGAGAAATTGCGGGTTAGCCAATAAACCTTTTTAATGGTCGATGATATAATGAATAAATAAAATAATTTATAGTTTGTTATAATATAAATTATATAAGAGTGAAAAGATAGTTTACTTACTCATTGATTTAAGTAAACCTTCATCAGAGACGACTCCAGAGATCCAAGGAATATCACGGAATTCTCCGCGCTCAATAGTAGACAGCGGATGTCGTATGACAATAGCATCTTCAGAATCACTTTCAATTGTCGGACCGAAGTTACAGTATGAATGCCCGTTCCATACTTGCTGCAAACAAACCACCGTATTTTTTTAACCGTTTAAACAATATTTTTCTGACAACTCTATTCAGAGTAGTTTCACGCTCTATTTACTTTTTGGGAATTATGTCTATAAAATAAATGGAAGAGAAGGTATTTGTTTAAATTTTATATTCGTGAAAAAATTTTATGATATCAAAATTAGTCACTTTTCAAAATTTTGAGTCATAATTTAATATCTTTATTTATTGATTATTTTGATTGAAAATAATGTTTACTCATTTATTACTGTCAGTTGTGTTTATATCAGGTTTACGTATATTTAATTTTTTTGAAAGATAGTTCTGAAAATATCCAACAGATGGCGCACGATTGCTGAATCTTCTGCCTATAGGAGAGTTTATTTCTAAAATAAATATCATTATTTGGTTAACTTTTAATTCAATCAATTATTAATCCAATTTTTGGTTAATATCATGGTAATTTGCATAATTAGACCATATATCAGGCCTGATATAAATATTATAAAAATTTTATCAAAACGTACAAAGAAACTAAGCTGTAAAGTCAGAAGTTTGGGGTCGACTTGTCTCAAACAGTCAATAATATCTTCATCACTCTCCGTGATATTTTCGTTGTCCTGCCACTTGCCGAAGGCGTAGTCAAAGTCGGAGGTTTTCCGTGGAGGACCGCAGCCGACTTGACCGGCTAAAGCGACAAATGTGTACCGGATTTTGGCGTGGTGCGAGGGGTGGATCCCCCAAGGAGCGTTCGCTACTCCAGAGTGAGTGATAAGCTTGTCAAAGAGGCCTTCGGTCCGCTTAGAAAGTCCTAAATGGTGAGCCAGTGAAGCACCAGCACTCTGTCCGCTCAATGTTACCGAAGTTGGATCACCACCAAAGTGCTCGATATTCTCTTGTATCCACTTTAAAGCTTCAAGCACGTCTTTTATACCGTAGTTACCCGGAGAAGCCTCATTCCCGCTGCTTAGAAACCCTTTAAAATTCATAATACCAAACAATTTATACAATAACATAAAACTTGCTTTATATAAATTTAATAAATAACCATTGAGGATTTAGAGAATTAATATTTGTTTAATTAATTTAAAGTCTGCAATGTATGAAACAGATTGGAAATAAAATAGAAATTTATAAATTTATTATTCAAGCAAATAAATTCAGCAAATAAATTTGCTATCTTTTATTTACGAAAAAGTATAATTGGATATGACTTGGAAATATTAATTAATTTTTAAATTAATTATTTAAGAGAAAATGAATATAAAACCCGGTTTTATCTTTTAATTATTAATTAAAGATTTAAATGGAAATGAAAATAAAATTGTTTGTCTAAAATGCGACAAATAATTGACAACTTTCTCGTTATTTGTTTTAATATAAAAGTTTCTCATACAATTGATTTTTTAATCATTAAACATTCATCTGAGTTTCATGCATTGTTTTTTGTTAATTTTAATAAAACTTGTTTTTTTTTTTTTAACTGTTGGATTAAAATATAAATTCGTTTTTGTGAAGAATAGATAATTATGAATAATGAATCGCATTTTAAAATATTTCAAGTTTTATTGCAACAGTGATGAGTTGAATATTTTATATCGAGAATTAAATAGTCTTATGAAAATAATTATCATGAAATATTTAAAGTAAATACTTGCCTAGTATGCCGAGACGATAATTAACAGTTACAAGGATTAATTTACGATCTAATAGATAACTTGGCGATAACAGAGTACTGTTATTACTCCCAGTTATGAAAGCACCCCCGTGAACAAACACCAAAACGGGCAATTTTTCAGAACTGTAAAGCTAACAAAGTTATCATTAAATATTATTAAAAAAATATAAAATATAAAACTATTATTATCATAAATAAAAAAAAAATGTAAATTTTGTTCGGCTTTTCTCTTATCATCCGTTATCTAACCTCCGCTGTATATATAGTAATATCAAAAGGTTAAAATATAATAATATACGAGACGAGAAAAAAAAATTTTAATTATTACAGGAGCACAAGATAATCATTTAAGTAGTTAGAGTGTGTATACTTTTATGACATTATAGAAATTCAGCGTAAAATTATCCATGCAATTTGTTATACACGACCTCGCCGTTTTTCCTTTTTCATTAATTAACGTACGACCTCCACAGACAATAGAGATCGTGTTACTTTTACCACCGCGCATAATACAACCGCTAAAATGCCCAACTTTCCCATTTATAATAAATTACCTCACTTTATAGAATATCTAATGCACGAAACTTTATTTTTAATTTAAAACTTTTTATTTTCTACGCTTTCTTCGATACTAAGAAAATTTTTATTTTTCTTTTTTTTCCTTTTATATTCATTTCTATGCGCAGCTTCTTACCTCAGGTACAAAAATGTTGAGATGCAGGCAGTCTTCGTCTCCTACAAATTCTCCAAAACGATTCAATTGCGGACACATAGGTCCATCTTCCGTCGCGTCGCGAAGTTTTGTCCAGTTATTTACCCATGGAACTGGAGTCTGGAATTTTTTTCAAGAGTATTTCTTAAAAAATCTCAGTATATAATTTTTTAGAAACAAAATCTAAATTCTGTTTCAAAAATAAGAGATACGATAAAGTTAATAAAGAATTTTTTTTCTAGAAGATTAAATTTCCAGCAAAAAAGCTTTCTCATGATTTTTTGGTATATCGAAATTTAACTTAGAATTTTGAGTCCAAACTTCAACAAAAATGACTTGTAACATACTTGAGTAGATTTTATTATGAAAATTTAAAATTCTGAGTGAAACATGAGAGTTACGATAAAATTGATGAACATCTTTTTAGTAGAGGATCCAACAAAAAAAATTCCTTTTGATTTTTTCGTAATTCTAATTTTTTGTCTATAGTTACTATAATTAGTTGTTAATAATAATTAATATAATTAATCGTTAGTAATTTTTTAATGTGATTTATTATTAAAAAATATTTACCTCAAAACGAAGAATACCAAGTGGTGGTTCAGCATAAGGTATACCGAGATAGGCAGCGATTCTGTACCCCCAGTGACTTTTCATCCATTTTCCCAATACTGGTCCGAACGAAGTTTCAACAACGGGACCAGAGGCTGTGGTTGCACAAAATAAGTTTATAAAAAGTAAAAAAACCAAATTCATTTTAAAAATTGAATCACAAAATAATAATGTAACGTATAAATATTTATATAAGCGTAAAATGAAGATTTGAAAACTCCATCAAGCGATCGTTGATTAACGACTGCTGGGAGTTTTCAGTTTTTGCAATTGTTACACTTAGTTTCGGGTAATTATCACAATAATGTGCGCGCGCTCTGTGGGCTGATAGCACAAGTAAACAGAAGGCAAAGCTTTAATTAAACTGCGCCTCTTGTTTTGTGTGTGGTACATTCATGTGACAACTAGGCTCAGTATGACGATAACTTGTTTATTAAACAATTTATTCCACTATTTTACTATTATACTACTTATTATTACAATCTATCCGATTTGATTCATTTGTACTTGTCCTAGATTAGAGAAGAAATTCTATTTTTACGATCTTTAAACGTTCTGTAGGAAAAGAAGTAGGCCTCTATCGAGGCAAAATATTAGTTCTTTAAAATTCTGATCATTTTGACGGGTGAATATTATAATTCAAGGTACTTTGAATTTATTAAAACATATAATAAAAATTTCAATGAAAATGAAGAATTTTCTTTTCAATTAATATTTATAAAGAGCCGAGCTATCAATTTGGGACAACAATTTAGTTTTAATTAAAATTTTTATCCGGTGTTTTCTGTTTCACTTTGTTTCGTTTATTAACAGAGGACAAATGTATTGTCAGTGCGGAAATTAAATCAGTAGGTGTATTTAGTCAGATAAAATGATAAAAAAGGTCAATGAGTCGATAAAGATCTTATGAATGAATGAGATTTTCAGATATACCAATTTGAAATGCAATTACTAAAAGGATTGCCGAGTTTGTTGATTCGACTCTGTAGCTCTAGCAGGATCGAGTGATGCCAGATCCAGGATTTAATTTACCTCGTAAAATTGAGAGAAATCATGATACCACTCTCTCGATCCTCCATACCATGGTTATACTGAATGCACATGGAAAAGGTGGTTTAGATGTTACTACCAGCACAAATTAATTCCATTTCTCTAGTTTTCCTATCCAATACACCATTAAATCAAAATCATCCTTCTCTACCCTCTTTACCCGTTTGCCTTTTCCCCGTCATTCTACCATTCTCCCGTCTCTATCTACGTCAACATCTATGTATATTCATTTAGGATTCAGGTATTATTGATTGTACCGTGATTCGGTTTATCTTGTGCACCGCATTAACCATTAATGATCTAAAATATCCAATTGCACTCATCAATATCACGGTCCAAATTAAAATCATTAATAAATACTTTATTATACTCGATTTTGAATTATAAATTTAATCAACTTTTCAATTATCCGTTTTTACATTACTTTATTATCTTCAATAATTAAAATTTTGAATTCTGTGGAGAATAATTATATGTGAATTATATGTGAAAAATCACGCAAATTTTTTTACATTTTTATCTCGCAAATAAAATTATTTTCAATCTAAACTAAACTATAAAGTTTTTGTATTTTTACTACATTTTATGTCAAAAAAAAAAATGTGTAATGGATTTTAGATAACAATTGCAGTAATTGCAGTACAATATAAAAACTTAATTGGAAACCAGCGAAATAAATTTCATCGCGATTTAACTTAAAAGTCTTTATAAATTATTGGAATAGAAATATTTAAAGAACCATAAATTGATTATTATTCTGGAAAATTTTGGCAAAATAAACCTAAACTATCGATATTGTAATTAGAAGTATTGAGTAATCATTGTAATAGTTTTTTTTTTATTCGTAATTTGTAATTCTCTTTCAAATTTTCGATTAATTACTCGTGCCATAAATTAATTTAAAAAAACTTCAAAAAATACAAATGGATTTATAATTCCAACAAAGAGGTTTTTCTTGAAAGTTCGACTCTAGATAAAATTGCAAGTGCCGAGTAGTGAGCCGATTTGAATATCTTTTACGCCGGTGAAAAGATTTAAGAAGACAGATCACCTCTTATAAATACACTCTGATGCATTGTTGGTACGCGCCAAAAAACCTGAGAGAGAAAAATAAAATAAGGAGAGCAGAGCAGATATGGTAATAGTAAAGCGCGGTGGTAACACAGTAGTTGTGGCGGTAGGTTGCCTACTACCGCTGCGATTTAATGAAAAATTCCATGCATCCGCGAGCGTTAACCGTACGTTCATCCCTGAAAGACCCGAGGGGGTAGTAGTAGCAATGCCTCTGCCAGAGGTTCACTACAGAATAGGTACACCACCATGCCCCATACATACATTCATTCATACATATACTCTCCACAACCAGACGCTGCGCTAGATGCTGGATGCTGGAAGCGCTACCGAGAAATTAAAATGGATGAGGTGTACTCAGTTTCCTTGTTCCTACCTCACTGGTTGGCCCAAGACCACTCTCTAAGTCCATTCAATATTTCTATACCATTACAATAAAATAAAAATCTTAAATAATTATTTCCAAATTAAATTAATTGATTATTTTTGAAATTTATTAAAATACTGTTCAGTCGTTGGACCAAAATCAAGCGTATGATGTCTTTGGATCAATAAATCTTGCTCGAATGCAGTGTGAGCTTACCGGGCCCATAACCTGTTGAAATACGGGATCATTGACGTCACAGGCTATTCAAATGGACGTGAATACCTTTCTCGATAGAAACTCCCATCGAATAAAAGCAAAATCATGTATGTCTGTTTATTGATATTATACATCGCGATATAAAATAAATAAAAAAACAAGAAAAATAATTAATGACAGCCGATCGATTTGCAGTATAATTGCACCCGCAGCTGTCTTCCCGGTTATTATTTTTGATACATCAAGCGTGTTTTGTAGCTATGCATGAGTTGTCGGTTAAAATACGCGGTAAAATATTGCAAGCTCTGATGAACAACCCAAGGGCGTAAATATATAAAAGGGTACAGCTTGACGACGGTAATACTATCATCATACTCGTATGTTGTTCTCCCACTACTACAACAACAACAACAACAACAACTACTACTGTACATAATGTTTTGATTTTACTAGGATTTTAACGATAAACCCATTTTGTTCAGCATCACCTATAATCCTTTGTACATAAGCCTCGTAATGCGCACATGTTCGGGGGTCACATTCAATGAATTGGGGGAATTTATAGCAAAGGTAAATCATCGAGGATCTGAAAGCTTTTCCTCCTCACACTCACACATGTGACCATGCATACGCATTTAAACTATATATATATTGACTGGCGAATGATGTCAACGCAATGACCAGCTCGTTCTGCCTCAAGAGTCCTATTCACTGCTCGCATCATCACCTAAATATATTACTGATTACGGTGCTTTGGTAAATAGGAGGTACTGTGAGTCGGAAAGGACACCGCACCGCGCCAATAGAAGTTCACTATGAGTCTGGTGGATCAGGATCTGGATTAGAATGAGGCGGTAGGTGATGCTGGTAAAATACTGGACCCGCATAATTTCAAAGCTTTGGCTGGCACTGTACGCATGCAGGCTCCCGTTAAGGGTAAAGTCTGCTCTCGCGTCATGTCGAGCGTTGACCCGCACTCGCGTATTCGCGGTGTGCAATGCAAATTTTCGTATGCAAAATCCGATCAACCGAGGGTGCCTACGCTGGCTACCCTCACACACTTACACATATGTCACCGAGTAATGGTGTAGACACATGTATGTGTACACTAGACTGTCAACCGCCCTCTTATACCGGTTCACATATGACGAGATGCTTTTACGCGGCTGTCATGTGTAAGTATTTATATATAGACACACATGTGTGAGTATGTGGGTGGGTGTGCAGAGTTCAGGGCGCAATATTGGCTCGTTGGAGCGAGTCAAGATAAAACCACCGACAATAACCCCCATGAATATACACCATCAATGGCATGCACGGAAATATAACCTGTTATACGTAATAAGTAGTTGATAAACTCATTCGTATTCTTACGCGGATTTTTATTATATCATTATCACACACATGAGTTATTTTTATCTATCGGGTTTTATTTTTTATGGTAATAGTAATTCTTTTTTGTTGGTTGGTACTTTGCTGCTTTACGCTATCGGAATCCGATCACTCAACGGGGAAATGAGCCTCTACTTTGAGATTCAGAAAATATAAATTTGTTATGCAAATGCGCTGCTCGCATCGAGATGAATTGATTGATTAGCTGGGGTGATATATGTGTATGTGTACATACAGGGGGTGTCAAATAGCTTTCCTTCTTTTTAAGCTAATATAAATGCAGTGTCGTAAAGTAGAACGCCGGACGGTCGATTTTAATGAGTCACTGCTCAACTGCTCAACAGTAGGAACACGCAACGCAATTGCTTTACTTATATTTTGTATTACATGTACTTATACATATGTATATGCTTAATCACTGCTGTACAAGTAACACGACTGCTGGGCCGTAAAACTAAAACCAAAGGAATTAGATCTATACCCTTGTGTCTTTACTCGTGTTCTTTCTACTTTTATTCTTTTTATAGAATACAAGATTGTACTGTGTGTGTAGTTTTAAATTACTTTCGTGGCGTATTTATAATCTCGGGTGAATTACTACATTTATTTATGTTTATTAAGTGATTTTTATTGAATAAGATTTGTTGGTGTTCTAGAAAACTATTTTTATAACTCTTATAGTTAATTAATTTTGTTGTTTCTGAAATTATTCCAAATTTATTTAAAGGGCTACAATATAGATACATTTTTTTATTTCCTGCAAAATGATCATTTTGAAGAAAAATTTTTGAACCAATAAATTTTTTTTTTTCAAGTAAATTTCACTTTTTTTAATAATTTTTGTTTGGTTGTTTTGATTAAAAATTTTTTCCGATAAATCAAATAAATTTTTTCATTAGTGTATAACAACAGAGAGCAATATTTAGATTTATTTTTAATCAAGAAATAAATGAATTGAATACATTTTTTTCTGCAAATTTTGGGGTTAGAAATTTCAATACGAACAATATTATTCATTTTTTTAAAAGTAATCATAGAATCTTGATAGAAAATTAACTAATTCTTTGATAAAAAATTGAACCTTTTTTTTTTTTTCAATAAATTCTTGAGCTAGAAATTTTTCTAAATAATATTTTTCATTTCTTTTCAGTATCATAAAATTCTTAAAAATAATCTTTTTAATTTAAAATTTTTTCTCCCAAACCAAGTTAATTTTTACATCAATGTAGGCCACAATACAATAGTAAAATTCAGGGAATGGGCAAAATAAATTAGCAAGTATATAAAAGATGTAATGGGGTTGAAGTCTATCAC